CAAGAAAAGATATAATGCTTTAGTCAAAAAGCACTATTTTATCATTGCTATCTCTAGTTTTGGAGCATTTTATTCTCGTATCAGCATTATCACACTTTTAGACATGATCAAAATCAATTAATAGTGGCGGAAACATAAAAATGAAAAGCATGATATTGCCTTATTATATAACAAGGCAGAAATTACAGAAAAAGTAGAGTTCTAGTACCTTGGAAAAACATCAATATTGCCCGGGAAGCAGCTTTTGATTCCATTTTCCCACTTTTCAATTTTTCCCTGAGATCATCACACTTCCAAAATAGTTTCCTCCCTCGGGGGTCTTTACTACCATGAAAGATCCTACTAACATAATCAAGTTCCCTCATTAAGGCCTCTCCATCCCATGATGGCGCACAGTGTTGGATGACATCTTTAACCCAACCTAAAAGTTCTGAAGTCCTCTTGCATGCTTGACACCTAAAAACCATTTCAATTGGTCCTTCTCCGCTCTTCAAAGAAGGGCCCATGCAAATGAGTTGCTCACGGATGGCGCAATCTGTGTGAGTCCAGTGAGAACACAAATCACATCCAATCCAGCGGCATGTATTCACTTCAAAGTCAAACTTGTTGCAGATTACACACATGCAAAGATTGCAGAAACCATTACTGTTTGTGCATATTTCACAGGTACAATCATCAGCTGGAAGTTGGTTTTGACATGCTATGTTTCTGCATCTCTTATACACAAATATCTCAATCAGGGAAGTCTGTGATAGACTGATGCTAGGATGCAAAAATCCCTGAATTCCAGTATTTATTGCAACAAGGATTTCAAGCTGCACACGATGTGCTCTAATCAGTGTCTTGGCAGTTAGATCAGTTCTACTCTGAACAAACTTCTGCAAAAGAAAAAATTCCTCTCTATATTGTGAAACATTTCCACCCTCAAGGATAACTCGAAATCCATTCTTCAGCTCTTCCAGAAATTCCTCAGGCAGACGATGTATTTTTTCACAGATTATATCAACACTTTCTCTTGCAATGTCCCGAAGAGTAATTTTGTCTGCACTAGAAACATGACGAATAACTGACTGCTCAAGGCAATTAGTCTCTGCTTTCCCATTCTCCATCCTCTTTGCTGCGGCTGCATCAGTTGTAGGCCAAGTTTCTTGAGAACTGGCACTTTCGGTGGGAGATTCACGGAGATTTTCAGAGTTTGATCTAGGTTTATCAGGAGAGAGGCGAGGATCAGAAGAAACTAGAGATAGCGATGTTTGCAGTCCTCCAACCTGTGAGTGCGGACGTAGAGGGAGCATTTCTAGAGAAGACTCCTGGTTAATGCTAGACACAGATGATGTATCTATCAAGAGTTTTTCTCTGTCAGTTGTTGTGAGCTTGGACTATATGCACATTCATAAACTACAACAAATGATTACTATAAATAACATACATCAATATCAGCAACACCTTTATCCCAAACTAGTTGGGATCAGTATGATTACTACAAATAAGTTATCATTTAATTGATGAAGGCTGACTATAGTTCCAAAAGTTAGAAATAGAGGAGGAACTCAATAGAATTCATAAAGCTAACAATCCATATATGTCAAATGACAACCTAAGATAAAGCTTCTTATCTAGTTTGACAGCTAACAAACAAGAATATATGAACTACAAAATCAATCATTTACTCAAGAATTGGAAATGAATTGTACTCAAATCTAATCTTCACAAATTTCTATTTAAATGCACTCCTTATTCCAGGTATTTGTTACATATTTCCTAGATTTTCAATTAAATCAGTGTTCCCTTTATTTTCTAATCAGAACTGCAATAACATCAATGCCCTTCTATGCAAACCAATTCAGTCACCCATCAGCAATTGCAGTACAAATAACAAAGGCTTTAGCCCATTAAGCCTGTGTTTGATATTAGATTAAATTAGAAAGTTACCAAAAAAAAAAAAAAAATTATTTTTCCAAAATAAGTAAATCCAAACACACGCTAAAGTTTTACTCCGATCCAAATGACTTTATACCAACACATGCATGCAAGACATTTGAAAACAAGTTTAAGGTACTCCCGCGGTTTGCACTAAATGTATTTACTTTTATTTATTTATTCCAAACCGGTTTAATCCAAGAAAAGAGAACTAGCGTGAAGCAATGGTAAAAACTACTTTGTAACTGAAAGGTAACAGGTTCAAATCCAGAAAATAACATTTTTACAAATATGTAAAGATAAAGTTGCATGCATGCCTGATCCCTATCCTCGCTAGTAGAAGTTTAAAAGAAAGTAATTTTAAACTGATTTAGTCCGAGTCGAACATTGTGGGACCTATATTGACCTATATTGGTAGCAATTTTCCCAATATCAATTTTCTCAGTTCCCATGACTAGATATCTTAATTAACTCATTGCAGGATTTAATTGCCTGCTCCAATTCCACACAAACATCCAACATACAAGAAAACCAAACTGCTATGGATAGCTTATATTAGCTTCCGTTTAACGGTTTGCAACTAATAATATTGAAAAAAAATAAATACAAAAGTTCTAAAAAGGCAGAAGCTCAATTATGAACCAAAACGGTAGATCGAATAATAAAAGAAGCAACAGCAGAACACAAAGATTGATCCAAACACAACACCAACCTGAACAACGTTGATAACAATGCTTTGACCTTCGAAAGGGTAAAACTGAAGAGGAGGACAAAATGCGAAGAATTCAAGGAAGCCGCGTTTTTCAACGCCATGGGTGACCGGTTCAGCCGGTTGACCAGGTAACACGTCACCAACCAGATTCTTGGTAGTTTGGTACAGTGGTTCACTTAAGTCCTAGACTGGCTGACGAATCAGGTCTAAGAAAAATAAAAGTTAATAATAATAATAATAGAGGTAGGATATTTTGGCTATCAATTTTTTCTACTACCACTCCACTACCACTTTAATCACCATTGGATTAAAAGTTATTTTTCTTTTCTCTCCATTCGACTTTTCCTCTAATCCAATGGTGATTAGAGTGGTAGTAGAAAAAATTGATAATCAAAATATCGTAATCCATAATAATAATAGTCGGGAAATCATATTTTCATGTTACATGAAATTATTTTCTCATATCATATTTACATAAAAATATATGTCTTTTTTTAAATTGATAAATTCCACTTTATTTGTCTATCAATATGAGAAAGCTTGTATTTTATTATAGGAAAAAATGTTTTTGCAGTTAATGCAGATAAGTTATCTGCATTTATTTCTAAAATGACGTTGTTTTGGTATTGAAATTTTAAAAAATTATAAATATAAAGATTATTATAACCTTGAAGTAAATTAAAATTATAAAAATACCATGATTTCCGCCCAAAACGACGTCGTATTGGGTTTACTGCAGATAACTTATCTGCAGTAACTGCAAAAAAAAGCGAACCCTTTTGTTAGCAAATTATATTTTCTAATAATTATTGTGGGTCACATATTATATTAATAATTATATTGTGCTATTTATATATATTGGGTGAATTAAAGTGATCAGGTACATATTCCCAAATAGATTTCTAAGTAAGTATGGGCTGAATGAGTGGATACCGGCGTTGGACCAACTAGGTATAATGGGAGCTTATTGGCCCAACAATAAAGATAAAAACACTATAAAGGGTTATGGTCCCCAATAAGTCAAATGAACAACCCTAGTTTCTCTTCCCCATCAAGAGAGAGACGACACACTAAGGAATTCAGTTTTAGGGTGATTTGACTGAGGAAGACTACAAATCCCAAGAGACAAGATAAAAGTTATTCTGCTGCAATGGAGACAGGTATGCCTCCACCTTTATGTTCTTATTTCTTTATGATTTGGTATGATGGATCTTGGCTTGTAGGTGATAGTTATCACCAAAAGGTTTAGAAGAATTACAAATTTCAACAATTGGTATCAGAGCCTTAATCATATTGAATCATGAGGGAATTAGGTTTATATAATTATAAGATCCAATCAATTGCGATCAATTTTTTAAATCTGAGTTGTTGTGTAAACCGTGATTGTTCTGTCTTTTCTTATATATCATGTTGTATATATATTGTATACAATTGAAATCAACCCACGACAATTCTCGTGAATTAGAAATCAATTTTTGATTGTCGTGCCAAGTCTACAATTGATTTGCACCGTTACTGTGTGTTATCTCTAAAATTTTAGAATGAATTGAAATATACTTTATGATTACCATCTCGATTTTCGTGATGATTGATTTTCATGAATTACATTGTTGCACCGTTTGCTGCAAATCACCGTCTCTATTGGCCTTAAAATTGTTGCAATGATATATTGATACAAGATGTATATATATACATTGAGAATTGATAAAGAATAATTTTTTTATTGTTGTTATTTTATTTTTAAATGAGTTTATTATCCCTAAAGGTTTTTATTTGAAATTAAATATGATAAATTTGTTAGCCGCCACAGTGGTCAAATTTATAAAGGTTAATTTGATTTCAAATAGGTTGGTCATATAAATATATTTTATTTATACAAATAATAATCGGCCCACAGGAAGGTTATTGTTTGGCCAAATAACATATGTTATGTGATCATGTGTGTGTTTATTGCTTATGCGGATAGTGATCGGCCCACATGAAGGTTATTATTTGGCCAAGTAACAAACATACTTGTGGTAATAAATATGTGACAATTATCAAGAATTCTCCATGTAATTCATAGTCGGCCCACAGGAAGGCTATGATTTGACAGGACTTATTGTCAATGTTTGATTACTACATTAAGAGTACCACTTACAAGTTGATATTTTTGTCCACAGACTAAATATTAATGTTGTGCTAGGTATCTTATAATAAACTCATTTTACTTTGGATTATTTGTCAATATCATGTATGTAATTTATTTATGATGGTGTTTGAATATATATATGATATGACATGTTATTAGTATGTAATCTTATTTTGTTCTCTGGAGACAGTTTCTGCTACCGCTGCCAATTATGTTGCTCAAGTGAATTCGCTTCCAATGCTTAATGGGGCAAATTTCAAGCTGTGGAAAGAGAATGTGGAAATTGTTCTCGGCTGCATGGATCTCGACAATGCGCTAAGGACTGAGAAACCCACTTCCACTCAGGAAAATCCAAACACGGATAAAATTGAGAAGTGGGAACGCTCAAATCGCATGTGTTTGATGATCATGAAACGTTCCGTTCCGGAGGCGTTTAGGGGCTCGATTGTTGAGACTACCAATGCCAAGTTGTTTCTTAAGGAACTCGAGCAATACTTTGCTCGAAATGAAAAGGATGAAATTGGTCAAACCTTGTCCAAACTCATAAACATGAGGTATAATGGAAAGGGAAACATAAGGGAGTACATTATGGAAATGTCTAATCTTGCTGGAAAACTAAAGGCATTAAAGTTAGAGCTGCCCTCTGAGTTGCTCATGTACTTAGTTATTATCTCTCTTCCTGCACAATACGGTCAATTTGTGGTGAGTTATAACACTCAAAAGGAAAAATGGACTCTTAATGAGCTCATTTCTCACTGCGTGCAAGAGGAAGAGAGGTTACAGCGAGAGAAGACTGATAGTGCTCACTTGGCATCAACCTCTCAAGACAAGAAGAGAAAGAGAGCTAAGGATAATGCAGATGCTTTGCCAAAGAAGCAAAAGAAGCAGGATCAGGAATTCACCTGCTTCTTTTGTAAGAAATCTGGACACATGAAGAAAGAGTGTTCCAAATACAAGGCATGGCGTGAAAAGAAGGGTATGACTCTCACTTTAGTTTGTTCTAAAATTAATTTAGCTACTGTACCTATTGATACTTGGTGGGTAGATTCTGGTGCTACTACTCACATTAGTATGTCTATGCAGGGTTGCCCTTGGAGCTGACCGCCAAGTGATGTTGAGAGATACATCTTTGTGGGCGATGGCAAAAAGGTTGCAGTTCAAGCTATTGGGAATTTTAGATTATTGTTAAAAACTGGTGTTTATTTGGATTTGATTGAGACATTTGTTGCACCGTCATTTAGACGGAATTTAATTTCTATTTCTAGTTTGGACAAATCTGGTTATTCTTGTTCATTTGGAAATAATAAATTTTGTCTTTCGCTTAATTCAAATATTGTTGGTACTGGTTCTTTGATTGATAATCTTTACATGCTTGATACTGTTTCTACTGATAATGAAATATTGCACTCGAGTGCAAATGGTACAAAGCGAAAGTTAAAAGAGAATTCTGCCTTTCTGTGGCATAAGCGTTTAGGTCATATCTCTAAACAGAGAATTCAGAGGCTTGTGGCTGATGGAATTCTTGAACCCCTTGATCTGGATGATTTTGAGGTGTGCATTGAATGCATAAAGGGGAAACAGACAAACATAAGAAAAATAGGTTCCAACAGAGCTTCAGATGTCTTAGAATTGATTCATACGGATATTTGTGGACCATTTCCTATAGCCTCTTGGAATGGTCAACAATACTTTATCACATTCATAGACGACTATTCAAGATTTGGATACCTATATTTGATTAGAGAGAAGTCACAATCATTGGATGTGTTCAAAGAATTTAAAGATGAAGTTGAACTTCAGTTAGGCAAGAAAATTAAGGCCATTAGATCTGATCGTGGTGGTGAATACTATGGTAGATCTGATGGATCAGGTGAACAACGTCCAGGGCCCTTTGCGATCTTCCTAAAGGAGTGTGGAATCATCCCGCAATACACAATGCCAGGTAAACCTAGCATGAATGGTGTTGCGGAAAGGCGAAACCGGACTCTTAAAGACATGGTGAGGAGTATGCTTAGTCATTCTTCATTGCCAGAATCACTTTGGGAGAAGCACTAAAGACTGCAGTTTATATCCTTAATAGGGTTCCCAACAAAGCAGTGACAAAAACCCCTTATGAGCTATGGAATGGAAAGAAACCTAGCATAAGGCATTTATAAATTTGGGGTTGTCCAGCAGAAGCAAGGCCTTATAGGCCAAATGAAAGAAAGTTGGACTCAAGAACAATCAGCTGCTATTTTGTTGGATATGCTGAACGCTCTCGGGGCTTTAAGTTTTATAATCCCACTACAGGATCCTTTTTGGAGACGGGAAATGCCATATTCCTTGAGGATGTTGAGTTTGGGGGGGAAGATAAAATAAGGAATGTTGTCTTTGATGAGGAAGAAAATAATATTTCTCTTCCTAATATTGTCATCATTCAAGATGCAATTACGGAACAAGCAATTAATGATCAGGTCCCTGTTCACGACACTGTTATGGAACAGGCTTTGGTCCCTGACATTGTTTTGGGTCAAGACAATAATGAATCACCCCCTATGCCACCTATAGAACAAACTCAACAAACTCAAGAAGTGCCATTAAGGAGATCCACTAGGGAAATGAGAAATGCAATTCCGGATGAATATATTGTGTGTCTTCAAGAGCATGAAAATATTTTAAGCTTGAAGGAAGATGATCCAATCAACTTCCAACAAGTCTTAGAAAGCTCTAATGCTCGTAAATGGATTGATGCCATGAAAGATGAGATGCAATCTATGAAAGACAACGACGTTTGGGATCTTATTGAGTTGTCTAAAGGTGCGAAACCCATTGGTTGTAAATGGATATTTAAAACCAAAAGGGATTCAAATGGCAACATCGAAAGATATAAGGCACGTCTAGTTGCTAGAGGTTTCACTCAGAAAGAAGGCATAGACTATAAAGAGACTTTCTCTCCGGTTTCTATGAAGGACTCCTTTAGGACAATAATGGCGCTTGTGGCTCATTTGGATTTGGAGCTACATCAGATGGACGTAAAGACAGCGTTTCTCAATGGCAACATTGATGAGACAATTTATATGGTGCAACCAGAAAACTTTGTATTGGGAGATTCAAAGTCTATGGTTTGCAAATTGAAAAAGTCCATCTATGGCCTTAAGCAAGCTTCTCGTCAATGGTACCACAAATTCCATCAGGTTATTATCTCTTATGGCTTTGAGGTGAACTTAGTTGAAGATTGTGTGTATCACAGGTTCAGTGGGAGTAAATTCATATTCCTGATACTATATGTTGATGATATCTTACTTGCCAGTAGCGATATAGGCTTATTGCATGAAACCAAGAAACTTCTCACTAAAGATTTTGAGATGAAGGACCTTGGTGATGCATCTTTTGTCTTAGGAATACAGATACTTCGAGATCACGCTCAAGGTATCCTACGGTTATCACAAAAGGCCTACATTGAAAAGATTTTGGATAGATTTGGCATGAAGGATTGTACGTCAGGAGATACGCCCATATCTAGGGGAGACAAGTTTAGTCTTGCCCAATGCCCTAAAGGTAAGCTTGAGATGATAGAAATGACAAAGGTACCTTATGCTTCGGCAGTAGGAAGCCTTATGTATGCCCAGGTTTGTACTCGCCCTGATATAACATTTATAGTGGGAGTGTTAGGAAGATACTTGAGAAACCCTGGAATGGATCATTGGAAAGCAGCCAAGAGGGTTATGCGGTATTTAAAGAGAACTAAAGATTATATGCTTACATATCGGAGGTCAGATGAATTAGAGATCGTCGTATATACTGACTCTGATTTTGCTGGATGCCAAGATAGTAAAAGAAACACGTCAGGTTATGTCTACATGTTGGCTGGAGGAGCTATTTCTTGGAAGAGTGTTAAACAGACACTTGTAGCTTCCTCTACTATGGCCGCTGAATTTGTAGCTTGTTTTGAGGCATCCAACCATGGGGTATGGCTGCGAAACTTTGTCACAGGGCTGCATATAGTGAGTGATGTTGAAAGGCCACTGAAGATTTATTGTGGCAATAGGTCAGCAGTGTTGTACTCCAACAACAACAAAAGCTCTTCAAAATCGAAGCACATCGATATAAAGTTTCTGGTTGTAAAAGAAAGAGTTCAGAGTGGTCAAATTTCCATAGAACACATAGGGACGAACTCTATGCTTGCGGATCCGCTTACTAAAGGCTTAGTGCCTAAGGTCTTTCACGAGCATACTGCTCATATGGGTGTTGTTTTGTTCGATGGCACTACGGTTTAGTGGGAGTTCTTTATGTTGGTGTTCTATGTAAATAAATAAATGAAATATTCTTATGTTTGTTTTCCGCAGAATAAAGAATTCAATGATATTTTCCCTCTGAATGTATTATATTTTGTGCTTGTGTTTCTGCTTTGTGTATGCAGAAAATTTAGGATTGATCTCATAAAGATTAAAGTAGGACCAGTTGGAAATAGGCATGGTAAGATCACATTGCATGTAATTTCCATGCCACTCATCCATACTTGATCTATGTCATTGAATATATTGGTGCGATGACCATGGAAGGTTTAGTTACGCTTGGAAGTGACAAAAGCCGCCATGATCTCATATTGATATAGGAGGTGGACCAGATTGTATCTAAGGAGGAATCTAAAGAAAAATAGCATACAGTTGCGCACTAAAGATATACGATATAATTATCTCAAGTTAATATGTGGCCTAAGTGGGAGATTGTTAGGATATTATATTTTCTAATAATTATTGTGGGTCACATATTATATTAATAATTATATTGTGCTATTTATATATATTGGGTAAATTAAAGTGATCAGATAAATATTCCCAAATAGATTCCTAAGTGAGTATGGGCTGAATGAGTGGATACTGGTGTTGGGCCAACTAGGTATAATGGGAGCTTATTGGCCCAACAATAAAGATAAAAACACTATAAAGGGTTATGGTCCCCAATACGTCAAATGAACAACCCTAGTTTCTCTTCCCCATCAAGAGAGAGACGGCACACTAAGGAATTCAGTTTTAGGGTGATTTGACTGAGGAAGACTACAAACCCCAAGAGACAAGATAAAAGTTATTCCGCTGCAATGGAGACATGTATGCCTCCACCTTTATGTTCTTATTTCTTTATGATTTGGTATGATGGATCTTGGCTTGTAGGTGATAGTTATCACCAAAAAGTTTAGAGGAATTACAAATTCCAACATTTATTATATTAGAGAAATAATCCCCATAATAATAAGCTTATTTATTTGTTTAGGACAATTTTTATGCAAAGGGCAAGCTTTTGTTATGTTAGACTATTACTTTGTATAAATGTAAGAAATTTTATATTAAATTTTAGTTATTAATTTACTTGTATCCAATGTTATTGAACTCGACTCGACATCGATCCGGTTGAGGTACTGGTCACTGGTAGAACTAGTGGATCACACTGGTCGAACCGATTTAAAATGAATTAAATAAGATTCACTAAATAAGCTGAAATTTGATATCATTGTAAAAGAGTATACTATTATCAAATAAAATTGCAAATTTTTTTAAAATAAGTTCTACATTTTATATAAAAATGCATGATCTGGCTGGATCACCAGTTTTGACCGAATTTGATCAGGTCCAATGTATAATCAATTCAGAACTTGACTCGAACCAGTCCGATAATCAAGTTCCGAGTCGACCTGGATTTCATAACCCTGCTTGGATCTCATGATTCACATATCACTACTTGAACCAATTAAGAGCGTGACTAATTTTGGGAACGTTAACCCGGTCATAATCGAATAATGTTAGGTCAGTATATATACGTTACCCTTCAAAAGGCCAGAAAACAATTGAACTGCAGCAATTTAACAATAGTTATTTAAATTTTGGCCATATACACAGTGAATGGTTCAAGGGATTGTGTCCTCTTATTGGAGGTATAAATTTGCGTGGCGGCAATACACAAGGGAAGTATTTTGCACCGGGAAATATTGTAATAGGTCATTTTGACAAGCTGATTGGGAGTAGGGGTGCTAAACGAGCCAAGGGCCTTACAGGGATCTTTGGCTCGGCTCGTGAAGGCCTGAACTTACATGTCTAAAATTGATTGTTGGACTCAGACTTGAACTTGTATAAAAGCTCGTTTAATAAAAAGGTCTCAGGCTCCAATTCAAAAGCTCGACCTTAAAGCCTCTCAGACTTGCCTAATATATTATTT